TGAAGATTTCATTCTGTACAAACACACTTTGGAACTCTTCATTTAATGTTTCACACATTTCCTTTTTATTTTCCGTGAATCTGTTTCCCATTTTCAACCTCTGAATATTATCCTTTACCTGCAATTTGTTGTTTAGGAATTTGTAGAATAGGCCCGGTTCTGTTTTACATTTATCCGCTATCCCTTTTTCAAAATTTCTTTGTCTCTCTCCTTATTGCCGTATAGTTGTTTCTCGCATCTTTGTATCGCTGGTATGTTTGGGGGTTTGGCCTCTTCCTATACTGATTCCATTTTTGTGTGTGTGTATGTATATGTATGTGTATAAAGTATATATGGAAGCTGATCAGAATTACATTTCACCTTTGTAAATGCACATTAATGACACTATGTAAAAGACACATCGAATACTTTATGTAGGGCATACGTAAATCTGTGTACAGTATCTATGTATTTATGTATGTAGGTTAGCTTAGCATTTTAAAAGCACTGAATCACCTTCTGTGGTTGATTGTTCAATAAACCCCTGAACTATATGTTTAACACATCTCTAACCCTGTCCATGGAGGACAGAAGAAAATATATATATATATGCTGGTTAGCATTGTAAATGTGGCGCCACATCTGTGGTAGAAAATAACAATAAAAAAAACAGTTTGGTGAAAAATTTTGATAATTTCAAAAGTGAAATTATCTCAATAATTGTGATTGGCTGTGAGAGTTATGACAAGTGGTGTACAATGAGTGTTAGGCCGGGCACTTCACTTGTTTATATCTTGTTTATTTACCACCTGAGATCAGTGGTAAAGGTTCACATTTTATGTTCAGCGGACAAGCATACCCCCTGGTTTTGTATACAAGAACATAAGAATGAAGTACATACGAAGCAGCTTCTATTTATATCCACTCTGGATAATAAACGAGATAGGAGCTGGATAATAAACGAGAGGGTCTTATAACAAAAATGCGAGATTATAGTGAGAGCTGATAAAAAATGATGACGACTGTTGGTAGTCGGCGACTTAAATTTGAAATCCATAGACTGGGAGGCATATGAAGCTAGAACTTAGGATTTTTGGATGTGTAGATTCATAAATCTCATCCTGGCAACATTCATGTATCAACATGTTAAACAAGCTACGAGGATGAGGGAAGGGGATGTTCCCTCCATGCTGGATTTGATATTTACCAGGAAAAAGGAAGAGAGATTTGACATTCAGTATCTTCTTCCTTTGGGTAAAAGTGACCATGTCTATTTGGGAATAAAGTATGCAATGTGTTTTAATCTGGAAGAAAATGGGATTGAAGCAGTTGAAAAACCTGATTTCAGGAGTGGACATTATGGGGAACTTAGATTTCTTTAAGTAATTTGACTGGAAAGACTTGCTGTCAGGACATGAAGTAAATAAGATGCATGTCAAGTTTTGTAAAATATATGATAAAGGCACAAGAAAATTTATACCAAAGCAGAGATGCAGAACTAGGAAACAAGATTGGTTCAACAGAAATTGCGAGAGGGCCAGAGACCAAAAGACATAAAAATGGTATCAATATATGAGGAGGCCAAACCCCCAAACATACCGGCGATACAAAGACGTAAGAAATAACTACACGACAGTGGGGAGAGAGGCAGAAAGAAATTTTTAAAAAGGGATAGAGGACAAATGTAAAACAGAACCAGGCCTATTCTATAAATTCCTAAACAACAAATTGCAGGTAAAGGATAATATTCAGAGGTTGAAAATGGGAAACAGATTCACGGAAAATAAAAAGGAAATGTGTGAAACATTAAATGAAGAGTTCCAAAGTGTGTTTGTACAGAATGAAATCTTCAGGGAACCAGACACTATAAGATTTCCAGAGAACAACATAGAGCACATAGAGGTGTCTAGAGACGAAGTGGACAAAATGCTCAAGGAGCTAAGTAAGAACAAAGCAGTAGGTCCAGGTGGCAGCACAAGTGGCAGCAGGGAAGACCTCCCCTTCAATTTTAGACCTGTATCATTGACAAATGTAAGTCTAAATATTGGAAAAAATAATTAAAACTAAATGGGTAGAACACCTGGAAAAAAATTATATAATATTATGCAGTTATATTTAATTTAGGCAGATGGTTTTCAATCTGGAAGATCCTGTGTAACAAATTTACTCAGTTTCTATGATAGAGCCACAGAGATTTTACAGGAAAGAGATGACTGCATCTATCTAGACCAAAAAAAGGCTTTCGACAGAGTTACACATATGAGGTTCTGGAAACTGGAACATATTGGAGGGGTGACAGGTAAGCTGCTAACATGGATGAAAAATTTTCTGATAGAAAAATGAGGGCAGTAATCAGAGGCAATGTATCGGATTGGAGGAATGTCACACGTGGAGTACCACAGGGTTCAGTTCTTGCACCGGTGATGTTCATTGTCTACATAAATGATCTACCAGTTGGAATACAGAATTATATGAACATGTTTGCTGATGATGCTAAGATAATAGGAAGGATAAGAAACTTAGATGATTGTCATGCCCTTGAAGAAGACCTGGACAAAATAAGTATATGGAGCACCACTTGGCAAATGGAATTTAACCCTTAAACTGCGCATGGCATATATATACGCCTTGAATAACATGTCCCACAGTGCGCATGGCGTACATATACGCCATAGGGTGCCAGTCACGATTCAAATGGCCCGCGGCTACACGGGGTTCATATTAGTTTTCTCAGGGCTCTTGTAAACAGACGCCATTTAAAAAAAAAATTGTGGGCAATATTCTCAGGTGTGAGAGCAAAGTACTGTTGGAGCAACCAAGGCTGGCGCACGCAGCATGAGCGAACAGCATTGCTGTTCAGCTTGTGATCACAGCATCGCCGAAAAATGTCAAAATAAATATATTATTGCTATTATTTAGCGATGACAATATTACAGATGACCCCTAACTGTGATATAAATAACCAGGGTTGTGATAATAGCAGGATTGTTGTAATAATTAACGCTGTAGGAGGAGTGATGCTGAGGGACGGAGGGAGATTGCATCGTTTACTGACTGTGTGGCCACCTGTTATTGTCTGCATTCACCATACCAGCTCAGTGGTTCTCTATGGTGAACACAAATGTAGATACTTATATATAATGTGTGTATTAGTGTAATAACAGCAAAAGGATTATGCTGGGTGGAGCCATTTGGACGACTGAGGTGATGTCTTCTGCATGATTTGTCTAGATGTGCAGAGGGTGGCCACTATACTCTTTGGGCACTCTACAAGCTTAGGTGTACAGTTACGGTGCATACAACATGTAGATACTTGTATATAATATATGTATATAGTGTAATAACACTGCAAACAGTATTGTTGGGGGAAAAGTTTAGTGCGTGTGACCTCGAATGAGTGAGGGAGCCGCCAGCTGACTGTGTGTATAGCTACGACTCTTAGTGCCTGAACTAACTATATCAGCTTAGCTGTACAGTTGTGGTGAACAAAACATATACATATATATAGCATCTGTATATAGTGTAATAACACCACAAACGGTGGGTGGGTATTGTTGGGGGAGAAAGTTTAGTGTGTGTGACCTTGAATGAGTGAGGGAGCCGCCAGCTGACTGTGTGTATAGCGACGACTCTTAGTGCCTGAACTAACTATATCAGCTTAGTTGTACAGTTGTGGTGAACAAAACATGTAGATTCTTATATATAACACCTGTATATTGTGAATAAAATATAAAACATGATGGTGGGAGGAAAAAGTGGGCGAGTGGCTGGCTGGTGTGTGGCGGTTACTCCTCGTTGCTTTTCAACTCTCAATGCCAACTTAGTGGTTCGTTATGGTGAGCAAAACATGCAGATACTTATATATAACCTGTGTATAGAGTGTAATAGCAGAAAAACTATTTGTTTATTGTTTTATGAACATAATAATTGAATCACTAATATGCACACCATACTTTTGAGTACAGCGATTATTCACCACTTTTTTATATAAATATATTACAATACACACTATTAAATAATATTACTGCAAAAAAACTAAGAAAAAATCAATCAGAGACATAGAAATAATTAAGTGATAATATCTTTGTGACAACTCCTACTTGTCAGCGCGGGTGACGCTGACTGACTCTGACGACCGCTCTGTCAACGCCCACTTTTTGTCAGAATTCCTCGGTCAATTGCGCCTAAAATATATCGCCTACGATTTTTTTTTTCTCGTGCTCAGGGAACACAAATTAACATTTTAAGAAGACAAAATAATTTTTTAGAATTTTTTTTCTTGCGCACAGGGGTGTAAATGTCCTCAGGACCCCTGAGCAGTGGAAGGGTTAATGTGAATAAATGCCATGTTATGGAATGTGGAATAGGAGAACATAAACCCCACACAACCTATAAATAATGTGAGAAATCTTTAAAGAATTCTGATAAAAAAAGAGATCTGGGGGTGGTTCTAGATATAAAACTGTCACCTGAGGACCACATTAAGAACATTGTGCAAGGAGCCTATTGTTAGACCAAAGCAGGAATATGCAGCGGTTGTATGGTGCCCATATCCTACTTCTGTTATGTTACGTGGTAATTGGTTCCACAAATCAACACCCCTGTTACCTAACCTAATTTAGACTTCATATATATTATTTAGGCTTCAAATGTTGATTATAGCATATAGGTAGCATATATGATGAAACAATATAAATCTACTGGAGGTTTAATAAATAATGCACCAAGTTAGAACTCTTAAAACCCACCAGTAGCGTTCATGTTATACACGTGTCATACTCTTGGCAATGCTGTAGCATACCCATTTTCATGCTCCTAAACTTCACTTTGGTTATTGCCAATAACCCGTTTAATTTTAAAAACACCTAGAATATATTTTTCAGTTGCTCTCGTGTAATCGAAGCATTTAATTTATATCATAAAATATGCCATCGTAAGAGGACTGGAAGTACCTTTCTCAATTACTTTAATGTAATTTTTCTATCCTAATTTATTTGATCTTTGTCCTTATTTTCTTGTAGACTGGCTGAGCAAGCAATATTGAAGGAAGCCAAAAGAGGTGCCGAGAGAGCTGAGATTTGCGGTCCATCTGGATGGCTTAAGTGTAACCTGCCTTCCACAAACAAGACCTTCCTTCACAATACCCTCCTCGGTATGACGAGTGTTATGTAATGTTGCTTTGATTTGATTATTTGTAACTAGAAAACACTTGCCAATACTGTACTACATTCTTCATTGGTACTAATATACTGTATAGTTCTGTATTCCTCCAATACCAAATTCATATTTCATATTTTGAACAAGTTTTCATGATTATTCCAAAAACTATCAATAATCATTACATGGCTCACTAATTACTAAACTTCAGAATTTGTAACTACATTGGAACCTCAACTTACAAATAAATTATTTATTTGTAATGACACCATTTACTACATTTTCTCCTCCCTCCCATGAAATTCAAGTTTACAAGAATTTCTTCTTGTAATTCCTAAAGTACTGTACTTAGGAATTTTTTGAGTTACGACCCCAATTTCGTCTGAAAATTCGACTCGCCTTACGACCTTTGCCTCGACTTGCGACTTTGTTGATACACGTATGGGTCGACTGAGCGCGTGGTTTCTTTTGGCACGGACGACCCCGCTTCAGTTTACCAGACTGCCCGCTTAGTGACGATCGTGCTTGTATTCTTTTTAAAGAATTTCATTGTTTTTGTGCACTTTTGTTTTTTGAGCATAAATATAATTATTATATATCACGCCATGGGTCCCAAGATAGTTCGTGGTAAGGTTCAACCTAAGAAAATAGCTGAGTAGAGGCAGTAGAGGATGTCCCTTCCTCATTAATTTAAGAAAACATGTGAAGTATGGGAAGAACTGCAAAGTTTTGATGAAAAAACTCACCCAGATAAAGCTGTAGCAGGCTGTTGCATTGACCTTTTAAATGACAATGTGATGTCTCATTACAGACAAGTATTAAAATGTAGGGAAAAACGAGTGTCTTTAGACATTCTTAGTAAGACAAGCAAATAGTGAGCCACAACCAGGTCCTAGTGGTATGCCTGCAAAACATAGGAGAGAGAGTACCCCAGAGAAGTAATCACTGCCTGTTGTTATAATAGAATGAGACTCCCCCTTCCAAACAGTAAAACCTCTCCTCCTCCCTGTCTTCCATACGCCAACAAAAGTAATCAATAAAGGTAAGCAATAACTTGTACATAGTGTACTGTAGTACAAAATATGTGTGTATTATATATGAAATGTATTTTGAAGTTAATATTTTTGGAAGTGTGGAACGGATTAATTCAATTTACATTATTTTTTATAAGAAAATTTGTTTCGAGTTACGAATTAAATTTGTAAATGGAGGTACCACTGCATTATCAGCCTCGTCATTTCCTGTTACATTCATGTTCTTCTTGGTTGGCCATGTGTGTGTGTAACTAACAGCATTTCACTTTAGATAATGTTGGTCTCTTTCTTATAAATATTGGATCAATTCAATATTTCTGAATTTGATCTTACACATTTTCCATATTCAAACAATTCTGAAAAAAAATTCCTTTAACATTGCTGATTAGCACCCAGGAAGCTAAAAAATCTAAATAAAAAGCCTCTACCTCATGTAGTTAGCTGTAGTGGCCTGGAGAACTTGCATTTTTTTAACTTATTTTTAGAAATAAGGTTGTGGTGGGTTCTCTGTAGTGCCAGCAGCCAGGTCAGATACGCGTCCCCAAGCTTCGTCTACTTCAACTTGTTGGCGCAATGATTGCTTAGAAGGCTGGCTCTTGTGGTTCGAGCTGGCCCTTTCATGGGTCACCTCTTTGACAGGGAAGCAGGAGGGGGGGGGGGGAAGGTTAGCTGAGTTTGCCGGCACTTGGTCCCTCAATTTGTGGGCTTTTCAAGTCTTTTCTGTGTGGAACTCCTGTGGCTCCCTGGAGCTATCAGGCTAATATGTGATACATTGGACTGGGACCATTAGTCTGTTGAGTTCAGCATACTGGGGACCACGAGCCAGAACCAGGCCCCCCTCAGAGAGGTGCAGGGAGCATTGGCCCAGGAAACCCCCCCCCCCCCACCTCTTATGGTTGGGGGCTTTCCTTATTTTCCATTGAATGGAAGTTAGGCATCCAGAAAGGAAGGCATAACAAAACAAACCCCACATAGTAAGAAAAATTACAACTAAAAACCGAACAAAGAGGCAGAACTTCCTCCAATCCCAAGGAAACAAGTAAACGTCACACTCTACCCCCGCGTCGCTCTTCCGAGCAGCCCTCCCCTCCCCTCCCTGCGCCAGCTACCTAGCACTCCAGCTCATTTGCTAATGTGGTCCGGGGTGGATATCTTCTCTGGCCTTGATTTCTAAGGTGGTGTTTTGCCTTCGCGGCAACCTCTGCAGTATTGTTGTGTGTGTGGTGGCCAGGTGTCCTCATCAGTGCCGGGGCTGCATGATCTTTGGGGCATCCTTCCCTAGGTGCCCTGTGAGTACTGTCTTTGCGTGTTAGGGTTCCCTTCCCTAGTGTGTTTGGGAAAACCATTTCTGTAGGAGTTTTTTTTGCTCGGCATTTATTCCCACCCTTGGGGCTAGCTGGGGTTTCGTGGTCCTTGTTTGGCCTTGGGTAAGGAGTGGTATTGTGCTGGTTAGGGTGTCAAGGTGTTGTGCAGCCTACCTACCTACACGGCAGCCAGTTTCTGTTTCCTCTGGGGACGTTGTACCTTTGTGGGGGGTTTTCTTTGGTGGGGGTTTTTTCTTGCCTGGTGGGGGTCTACCTGGTATGGCTATTGTTCCACTTCTAATATCTTGGTGGCCCTCTGCTAGGCCCCTGTGATTGTACAAGTCGCAGGGGGTTTCATTGTTTTGATTTCCCCCTTGTTAGCTTTGGGTCTTAACCGGTTAGCAACACTTGCCCGGGCTTCCCGTAGCAGTCAGCCTATGGGCCCTGGAAAACCCTGTCGGGGCTCTGAGGATCCATGGATGCAGCTGTTTTTCGCTTTGATGCTTCACTTCTGAACTGGAGTGCTAGGTAGCCGGATTGGGGAGGTTCGGGGCTCCCCAAGGGCTGCGCGGACATGCGACGCGGCGGTGGAGTGTGACGTTGGCTTGTTTGCTCGTTTCCTTGGAATTGAAGGGAGTTCTGCCTCTCTGTTCACTTTTTAGTTGTAATATTCTTACCATGTGCGGTTTGTTTAGTCATGCCTATCTTTCTGGGTGCTTAACCCCGATTGAGGGCAGATAAGGAATATCCCCAACCACGGGGGCTTTTCCAGGGCCATTGCTCCCGGCACCTCTGAAGGAGCCAGGTTCTGGATCGTGGTCTCCAGTAGGCTGAACTCCATAGACTAATGCTCCAGTCTAATGTATCACATATTAACTCGATAGCTCTAGGGAGCCTCCAGAGCTCGCCCAGAAAATGGGGTTTTATTACATTCAATGCTGGATTTTTGCAGCGTGCAATGGAGCTGGTCGGTCCCATCAGGGCTTTCGGGTCTGGTCTCTTCTTCGTGCCTTTGTCGAGTCATTGCAGAGTGGGTGGTTTTGGGTGTGTGGTCGAAACGACCTCGTCTTTCCAGTTGGTTCCCTGCCTGTTTACAGTCCCAAAACAACCTAGTCTCTTTAGTGGGTTCCCGACTGTTTCTGGCCCCGAAACAGGATTGTTTGAATCTCCAGTTCATTCTCGACCTTTTCTGATTGAATTACTTCTTTCCTTGCTTCTCCTTTTCGATGGCTATTCTGTCCCAGATCTGTCTCATTTGTAAACCAGGCACTTGGATGATTTCTCTAGGTCTCCAGGACATGTATTGGCATATTTGTTAACCCTTAACCCTTAACATGCTCGGGGTCTAATATCCTGCTATCCACACAGGCGCATGTCATTTTGAAAAAAAAAAAAAATTTTTTTTTTTTGCTAATCTGTTAAGTTCTGTTCACTGATCATGGGAAAAATAAAAAAAAAATTCTATTGTACTTACTTTTGTTGCAATAGAGCCGAGAAGCTCTGTGATGACGTCACAATCTGCATGTTCGCTCATGCAGTACACGCCCGGGAGGTGTTGCGCGCGGTCCTCAAACAGCCAGAGTTGCCACAAATATATTTTCGAGCTATTTATTTACAATGTCTAAGCGCATTTTATCTAATTTTTTTTCACTACAGTAATTGTGTTTCAAATACTGTTTGAACATATTTTGTATCAATAATTGTTGCATATTTGAGTATACACAGGCGCACACAAATGTTTTCAATTACGGCAATATAATATGTCATTACAGTCTATTATATTGTATGTTCTGCTTATATTTGTATATATTTACACACACGCACACGCTACTTATATGTTTACATATTTACACACTCGCACACGCTATACACACTTTGAAGCACACTTAGAAGATTTCTAGACTGTGGTAGTCATTGAAGCAGTCGACAGCACATAATGGGATACCACACGTTTCACACCATGTTTGCACAAGCTTCCGTTTCTTGTCTCTACGTGTCGTTGTTTTACACACCAAGCAATCACGTTGGGCTATTGCACGCTTCACACCAGGTGGCAAATACTTAAGTTTGTGTGCTAGGAAGCCTTCAGTGTGAGCGAGGCGTGGAGTACCAGCATGCTGCAACAGTGGGTTTATGATGGGCCGCTGAATACCTGGGACATCTTTTGCAAACTTTCCTAATAACTGTATTGCAGCATCAAATACAAAGTCACGGAAAGTGGGCTTACGTCCAGTTCTCACAAGGTACATGTTGAAACAGTTCAGCATGCTCATGTCCACAAGATGGAAGAACACTTTTTTCGTCCACCTACATGTCTTCCGCACACACTCTGCAGTGCCAATCATCATGTCTGATTTATCAATCAACCGCATGTTGATATTATAGTCTAAAACACAGTCTGGCTTATATAGTGGTGCGTTTGTTTTATGGCTCACTTTCCCACTGTTCACCATTGTTCCATCATGAATTGTTGTCAACAAGTTCACCTCTCTTTTGTCTTTCCACCGAACTGACAGAATGTTATCACTTTTCCTTCTCTGACACTCACCAACTGCAATGTCGTTGTCAAACACAGGCATTTCCCTTCGTTGTGGCTTTACTGTACCAACCAATCCGGTTCTATTTTCTAGCAAGAACCGAGCTAGCAAGGGACTTGT